AGTCCCATGGTGCCGGCCCCGCACAGACCCCCAAGCAAGAGGAAAGCCCCCGAGGAGCAGAATGGGGCCCAAGCCACACAGCCCTCCCTGCGGCACACCACCAGCCCCAGTACGGAGATCGAGAGTGGGATGGGGTGGGGTGCTGGGGGGGGACACACCAAGGTGCAGCAGGGTACACCAAGGTGCGGCAGGGTGCTGTGCCCCCTGATGTCCACCCTCACAAACCTGCAGGGCCCTTGGCGAAGGCAATACACCAAGGTGCGGCAGGGTGCTGTGCCCCCTGATGTCCACCCTCACAAACCTGCAGGGCCGGATGGCTCCCACACCTCTCGTACTGGAGGTGAGTGCTGAACCCCCCAGGGCAGCATCTGCTGTGCACCCTCTTTGCCTGCAGGGGAGGGCGGAGGGCTGCCTGTCCCGCTGAGTCGCCCCCCTGCCCACAGCCCTCCAGGCGGTGGCCGCCTCAATGCAGAGAGCAGTGGCTGTGGCAGGCAGCGAGGTGCCCGTCCCCCACGGAGCCATTGAGGGCATCCCCATCAAACACGTGCTGGAGCCGGGTAGGTGCAGCTGGTGTTGTACGCAATTTTGCCCACAAATTCAGAATCTGACATGCCCCCCCACACCCAGCGGAAGCTCCCCAGGCAGGGGGGTTGCAGGGAGGGGGCCCCGCTGGAGCCATTCTCAGCCTCTCTTGCAGGCAACTCCAAGACAGGCAACAAAGCCAGGGATGAAGCATACACCCCGTCTGCCTGCAAGGAGCCAGGGGCCAGGAGCAGGAGCCGCAGCCTGAAGCTCATTGCCCAACCTAAGGCATCCCACAGTGTACAGACCCCCCAGCCACCCACTTTCACCCTGCCTTTTGCAGCTGTCTGAGGCTCTGGTGGGGGATTGTCCCTGCCTGGCAGCATAGCCATGGCCTGGGGGTGTCCCCCCACACCAGGGTATCCCAGCAGCTTCCCCAAACATCTCTCCTGTCTCGCCCACAGAGCAGGGAGCCCCGAGTATACACCCAGGGCCGGCTGCCCGTGCCCACCGTGCACAGCCAAGACCCTGTACCCCACCAGGTGAGTCCCAGCATATCAAGGCCCCGATAGGCACCTGGTGAGCTGGGGGCCATCAGGATATCCCTGGCATGTCCCTTTGGCCTGGCTGAGCACAGGCAATCCAGGGCTCTGCTGACGGGGGTCACCGGGCTACATCCCCCCCTGCCCTGGAACAGACGGAAAGGGGTTGGTGGGTTTGGTGTGGGTGACATGAAGGTAAAGGCCAAGGGGGCGGTGGGTGATGGGGGCCCCTGCCAGCGCGAGCCCTGCCACAGCCATGGGTGCAGGCTGTCTGCTGGTGCCCCCTGAGGAGTGGTGAGGGTGACCCCCTGCCCACTGCCCCGTGGCAGGAGAACGAGGATGAGTGTGCAGTCTGCAGTGACGGCGGGGAGCTCATCTGCTGTGACGGCTGCCCCAGGGCCTTCCACCTTGCTTGCTTGGTGCCTCCACTGCCCTGTGTCCCCAGGTGAGCCCTGGGGTGTCACAGGGACCCCTGGTGCCCCCTCGCGGCTGTCCCTCAACACCCTGCTCTGGCTTTGCAGCGGGACATGGCGCTGCAGCTCCTGTGTGGCAAGTGTGGCAGAGCTGGGCCAGCCGCGGGAGGCGGACATGGCTGCGGAGCAACCCCCCGAGATCCCAGGGGAGGAGGTGTGCAGTGCCCAGCGAGGCGGAGGTGATGGGAGCATCTGTGGCCGCTGCTTCACCCGGATCCCTGCACCCCAACACTGCCCCGTGCCTGGCAGGGACCCTGGGTGAGTTCCCACAGCCCCCATCATCCCCCACATCCCAGCCTTAAATCGTCCCCCAGAGGAGTGCTGCACTGATGGTCTGCATCCCCCCTGTTGGTTGTAGGGGGCTGCTGCTCTGCACATCCTGCGCAGACACCCCAGACACAGGCAGCCTG